GTGATGATTCTCAGTACCAATTATAATATTCCAACAAAACAAAACAAATATTATTATTAATCATTTAAAACTATTAATAGTTCATTTATACTAGCAGTGAAACAGACAGTGAAGAATGAACGATGACATGAGGAACGATCACGAATTTCACAGCGCTGATGTTCTACCGGTGTTGATCAACTCACTGCTGCTTCATCTGAACACTGGGAACACCCTGCATGTGTGTGTGTGTGTGTGTGTGTGTTTTTGTCTGAAGGGGACACTCCCTGCACCACTCAACATCTGGGAGCAATAAAACTCACACTCACACACACACACACACACACACACACACACACACACACACACACACACACAAACACACACACAAAAACACACACACACACACCCACACCCTCTCTCACACACACACACACACACACTCACTCTCACACACACACACACTCTCACACACACACACACACACACACTCACTCTCTCTCGCTCTCTCTCTCTCACACACACACATTGGGTTTCCATGATTTATGGGGACAATCCATAGACATAATGGGTTTTTTTTACTGTACAAACTGTATTTTCTATCCCCTAAACCTAGCCCGCACAGAAAACTTTCTGCATTTTTACAATTTCAAAAAAACTTTGTGTACTTAATTTTTATACCTGTTTTACAAATGAGAGCGTCCCCAAATGGAGGTTTTTGGCGATTTTGTCAGGTTTTGCTCACATTTGGGTACAAATTTGTTCCCAAAATATGGTTAAGTAGGTACACACACACACACACACACTCTCTCTCACACACACACACACACACACACACTCTCTCTCTCACACACACACACACACACACAGACACAGACACAGACACACTCACACATAGACACACAAACACAGACACAGACACACACACACATAGACACACAAACACACGCACACTCACACACACAGACACAGACACAGACACAGACACAGACACACATGCCCCATTAGCAGAGCTTGATTCATTATGGAATACATAATCTCTTGCAGTTCATCAGTTGAATAAAATCTCTAGGAATGTCTGTGTTCACTGTGCTCTCTGTGCACCTCATTCCTGCACAAATCCAATTTAACAATCATTTACAAAAATGTGACTTCAGCTGAGTGTGAATCACACACACACACACACTTGTCACCATTAACCCTTTACAACCACGAAGGTCAGTTACATGGACAGTTCCTCACTGTTTACTGGACTTCTGTATCTATCTATCTATCTATCTATCTATCTACAGTGGGGCAAAAAAGTATTTAGTCAGCCACCAATTGTGCAAGTTCTCCCACTTAAAAAGATGAGAGAGGCCTGTAATTTTCATCATAGGTATACCTCAACTATGAGAGACAAAATGAGAAAAAAAATCCAGAAAATCACATTGTAGGATTTTTTGAAAATGAGGAAGGAAAAACTATCATTTTTATAAATATTGGACCTTTTTTTTTTTTGCAAAAAGCCTCAAGAAACATAATATGAAAATCAGAAATTGCATTTCATGATCCCTCTAATATCAAGGCAATTACAGACCAACACAAAGTAAAGTAAAATGTACAAAAATCATTATTATTGTGTGCATGAATCATTGTTCCTGTTGTAGACGCCCACAAAGGGAGGCTTGAGCTCACATCTGGGGATGAAAGTGTCCCCAAACTACATCGCACACACACACACTCTCACACACTCTCACTCACTCACACACACACACCCACTCTCACTCACTCAGAAAAAAGCCTCAAGAAACATAATATGAAAATCAGAAATTGTATTTCATGATCCCTCTAATATCAAGGCAATTACAGACCAACACAAAGTAAAGTAAAATGTACAAAAATCATTATTATTGTGTGCATGAATCATTGTTCCTGTTGTAGACGCCCACAAAGGGAGGCTTGAGCTCACATCTGGGGATGAAAGTGTCCCCAAACTACATCGCACACACACACTCTCACACACACACACTACACTCACTCACTCACTCACACACACACACGCACGCACAATCGCACGTACGCTCACACTCACACACACACTCTCACTCACACATGCACAATCGCACGCACACACACGCACTCACACACACTCACACTCACTCACACACACACACACTCACACTCACGCACGCTCTCACACTCACACTCACTCACACGCACGCACAATCGCACGCACGCTCACACACACACACACACTCACTCACACTCACTCCACACACACTCACACTCACTCACACACACACACACTCAATCGCACGCACGCTCACACACTCACACTCACTCACACACACACACACACCCTCACACGCACAATCGCACGCACGCTCACACACTCACACTCACACACACACACACACACACACACGCACACACAATCGCACACACGCTCACACACACACACACACACACACACGCACAATCGCACGCACGCTCACACACACACTCACACTCACTCACACACACACACACTCACACTCACGCACGCTCTCACACTCACACTCACTCACACGCACGCACAATCGCACGCACGCTCACACAC